AATATATTGTTTTGTAACATCTGGTCAATATGTCATTATTATATCTAATCAATTTTTTTTTTCATTGTCTAATATTATATTTTCTTTGTTCCATAATATTAGATGTTTAAGGAATTTTTTTTGTTTTTTAATAAGATCTTTTACAAGTATTTTTAAAGATGTTAATGTTATTTGGTACCTTTGACTCTTCGAATTCTATTGTATTTTTAATAATTGGTGAAATTTATTTTTAATTAATTACAAGAAAATGTTGTATTTAGAAAAACATTCAGTAGTCTTCAGGTTTTTATTTGAATCATCTTATAATTTGGAATTGAGGGAGTATCAAGCAATTTAGATATCTTAGTATAGGTCCAATGTTTAAATTAATATAATACAATCGAAACACTTTCAATTTTTTTTTACATGTTTAAAAGTTGATTTGTTTTAACTAATATTATGTTTATAATAATTTTAAAGCACTGAAAAAATCATTTATTAACTTTCAAATACAATATACGAACTAAAAATTACCATACTATATGGAAAATACAAAGTTTTGGTTGATATTTACAAGTTTATAAAACTATGAAGATATAACTAATAATTTCAAAAATATCTTTATTTTCCTCTGTTGGCAACGATATATTTAATTGATATATTTGGTCAATACATCATTGTTACATCCAATCAATATGTTAAGGTTACTTGAGGGAGTATCAAGTATCTAAATATTTTTTGGGAAGGTTATTGAAATAACCTCAAATTGTTAGTCAAATACAAATATACATCTCTCTTTCTCTCTCACTAATTTTTTTTCAAACCAACCATAGAATTCAACTTATTTACGGAAATACCATTAAATTTGAATTCTTGTTTTTTTTAATCAGACATTCAAAACACACAAATAAACACTCAAATATATCAACTTATTTACGAAAATGTCATTATCATCAATATTTCTAACCACTATGAACAACCAAAATCAAACTCTAAATGCTTCCCCAACTGATTTTTCATGGATAAGAGCTTCATTTGTGAGTTCATAACTTCTTCCTCACCCATTTCTTCTACAATTTCATCCAAAAACCTATTTAAATTTGGTTTTCAAAATTTTTTCTCTCATAATCTATCGATTTTCAATGGTTCTTGCATAAACGACGACTGGACTTCTTTGTTAACGGTCAGATTAGAAGTTTCAGGTGTTTTAAGGAGCTGAAAACCGAGCTCTACGGCGGAAACGGAGCTGAAAACCGTATTTTTCGATCTGTTTCGCGATAGTAGACTGCATAAGAAGTCTGCTAGTCAACGAAAGGTTAGATTTGCAATTGTCTTTTTAAAAAAATATTCAAAGCAGACTGCTCGTGAAGTTTGTTTGTTTTCCTTTGATAACAAAAAAATAGTCGTAGACTTCACATGAAATCTACTTGAAAATGGGTTAGTTTTGCATTTGACCAAAACTTTGACTTTATAGAGCAGACTTCTGG